TATTATTATTTTGCAGTTTTTGCTGTTGAAATGGCATCAACAGCTGGAGCCACAGGATGGTTGAGGGGTATAGTGAAAGCTGTTCCATCTGGTGACAGCTTGGTGATAATGGGCAACACCAAAGCCGAGATTCCTCCTGAAAAAACTATCACTCTATCATCTTTAATGGCTCCTAAGTTGGTAGGTTCTGTTTGTTGGGAGAATGTTGTCCATTTTTCGCTGGACCGAGCTTGTATTGGCATGAATCTTTCTGTTTTTTTTCTCTTTGATTGAATGGGTATTTCGCTCTTGAGATTAATAAATTGAGGGATTTGAGAATTGGGTATGAAACATCGTATCACTGTGAAAATATCATGTCTGAGATGTGATTGGTACCTTATATTGTATGTTTTTGCATTTGCATGCATACATCTCTGATTCGTCATGTGATATTTAATAGTTATAATTTGGCGAACTCAATTTGACTTTCGATTGATATATTTGCCAGTATATTTTGTTCAATTGTCACTCCTCATAGTGTTTTGGTATTCTTTCTTGCAACGCGTACCTTGGATTTATCTTTGAATGTGGCTTGTTTGGATTTATGATAGTTCCATGGTGTAATGTGTCGCATAACGAAGTATTTTTTAATTGTTATTATCTTGTGCCACTTTGCTTTCCCTTTTGATTTGTAGGCTCCCCGGCGAGGCGGTCTGGATGAGCCATTTGCATGGGAGAGCAGAGAATTTCTGAGGAAACTTTGCATTGGAAAGGTGTGATTTACTTTGATTTTTCCCTGAAGAGAATTCCTTTAAAATTATGCGGAATGTCCTTGTCTATTCAAAGCATACAGTCTAATACCAGCATTGGCCTTTTGCACCTTAGGAGGTAACTTTCAGAGTGGATTACACTGTACCATCCATCAATCGGGAATTTGGATCTGTTTTCCTTGGAGATAAGAATGTGGCTTTGCTCGTGGTTGCTGCAGGCTGGGCTAAGGTATTGCATTTTTATTCATTCTAACTTGAAGGTTTAGTAGTTATGCTTTGCATTACTTCACTAACATATATTTCACTTTATATAATGAAGGTTAGAGAACAAGGACAGCAGAAAGGAGAAGCTAGTCCTTTCTTGACAGAGCTGCTACGACTTGAGGAACAGGCTAAGCAGCAAGGTCTAGGTCGATGGAATAGGGTGTGTATGCTTTTACATATGTATATGATTTACTTAATCAATGCAAGAGTTGTATGTAAGTTTTATGATTACCTTATGCTCAGGAGTGTTTTTAATGCATGCTATATATAAGCATATGTTTAAAAAATGTGGTCCTCATTGATCCAGGAGATTAAATTAAATTATTAATAATTCTGGATTTTTGTTGCTAATACAGGCGCCTGGTGCTTCCGAGGCCGCCATTAGGGACCTACCTCCTTCAGCCGTCAGTGATTCTAGTAATTTTGATGCTATGGCTTTATTGGCTGCTAAGAAAGGTAGTCCTTTAGAGGCTATTGTGGATCAGGTTCGCGATGGAAGCACAATTCGTGTTTATTTGCTGCCTGAATTTCAGCACGTACAAGTGTTTGTTGCTGGTATCCAGGTTAGAGCAACCATATCTAAATTTAATAGTTCACCTTAGTTTCTTTTCTATTTTCCCTATAGTTTCGAATTTTTGATTCTATCCGTTCAAATTTTGCAACCAGTCTCCATCTGCGGGTAGAAGGGCTGCATCAGATGCTGTTGTTGGAACTGAGGTAGCCTCTAATGAACAAAATGGGGATTCCACATCTGAAACTCGTGCTCCATTAACATCCGCACAGAGACTAGCTGCATCTTCAGTACCTTCAGTTGAAGTTCCTGCTGATCCATATGGGAAAGAAGCCAAACATTTCACAGAGATTCGTGTGCTCCACAGAGATGTGAGTAGCATTCAGAAGCGCTAATATTTTTTGGAGGACTGGAGATGCTTTTGTTTCTGATGCATTTTTTTGGTTATGGTTTACAGGTCAGGATTGTATTGGAGGGTGTTGACAAATTCAGCAATTTGACTGGTTCGGTGTATTACCCTAATGGTGAATCGGCAAAGGACCTGGCTCTGGAGCTGGTTGAAAATGTAAGTCATTTTTATATCTGGAAGAACTGAGGTTGTTTTGGAGGACAGTATGTTAAATTGGCATTTTATGTTGAGTTAGTCCTTTTTTCCCCAATAAATATCAGCACTTTTAAGCTTACCCTTTGGAGAAAATAAGACATGTTATTTATTATCTACTTATGTTTCATTTCTGTTCAATGTGTTGGATATGTCAACTACTCAAGCAGCCCATTACTATTTTCTTTCCATTAGTTCAATAAATGTTTTGTGCATATATTCATTAATTGAGGAGTTTCCGTTTAGTTTCTAATGGCATTTTTCAATTTCATGATACTCAGGGCTTGGCCAAGTATGTAGAATGGAGTGCCAGCTTGCTGGAAGACGAAGCCAGACGGAGGTTGAAGAATGCTGAGCTGCAATCAAAGAAGTCCAGATTGAGAATCTGGACCAACTACGTTCCACCTGCCACGAACTCAAAGGCCATTCATGACCAGAACTTCACAGGAAAAGTAAGATACCAACACTGCTTTCAACGTTCGTTGGTCTTTGTTTTCTTAATATTCTTCAGAGCAACATTTCTGAATTTTATGCAGGTTATTGAGGTTGCAAGTGCGGATTGCATTGTGGTTGCTGATGATTCGCTGCCATTTGGAGATCCAGCCGCCGAGAGACGAGTCAACCTGTCAAGCATTAGGGGCCCTAAAATGGGTAATCCTCGTAGAGATCAAAAACCTGATCCATATGCTCGTGATGCCAAGGAGTTTCTGAGAACCCGCTTGATTGGCCGTCAGGTTTGGTTCTTTTTCGTTGTTGTTGTTATTATTATTATTATTTGGTTGTTCTCTAATTTGTCATTTTTTGTTCTAAAATATCTTAATCTTCATAAAATTGTTCCTACGCAGGTGAATGTTTCTATGGAGTATTCCAGGAAGGTTAGCTTGGCAGAAGGACCAGGTGCCGCACCGGGGTCCGCAGATACAAGGGTGATGGATTTTGGATCAGTTTTCCTTCTCAAGGATGCGGATGATGCTGCTGCTTCTGGTGCTGGAAGCCAACAAGGTGGGGTGAACATAGCCGAGCTTTTAGTTGCTCGTGGATTGGCAACTGTTGTTAGGCATAGGGATTTCGAGGAGAGATCAAATCATTATGATGCCCTCCTTTCTGCTGAGTCACGTGCAATCTCTGGGAAGAAGGGAATGCACTCTGCCAAGGACCCTCCTGTGAGACACGTGACCGACTTGCTTACGGTATGTGTACTAGTGATCTTTGATTAGTAACTACATTGATAATATATTCCCTTTTTTTTTATTGAAAAAATTCTAATAAATTATTTTTGATTTAAATGATTGCACATGGCATTAGATATAATAATTACAAAGGTCAATAATATTGTGTTAATGAAAAGAGTGGAAATATTTCTTTTGTCAAATTGTTTACTTCTGCACTGAAATATACAGGCTTCTGCAAAGAAAGCGAAAGACTTCCTACCCTTCTTGCAACGCCAGAGAAGAATGTCTGCTGTTGTTGAATATGTGCTCAGTGGACATAGATATAAAATTGATATTCCTAAGGCGACATGCAGTATTGCACTCTCGTTGTCTGGGGTTAGGTGTCCGGGTCGTGGTGAGCGTTATTCAGAGGAAGCTATTGCCTTCATGAGGCGGAAAATAATGCAGAGGGATGTTGAGGTACTGTTTATCTATATTCTCATCTTAGTTCTCTGTTGTGCTTTCAGATCTCTTTAATTCTAATGGTATTTGTTGTTCTTACATGTAGGTCGAAGTGGAAACAGTTGATAGAACTGGAACTTTCTTGGGAACTGTATGGGAGAACAGAACCAATGTGGCTATACCGCTTTTAGAAGCTGGCTTGGCAAAAATTCAATCCTTTAGCATTGATAGGGTTCCAGAAGCTCATCTGCTGATCCAAGCAGAGCAATCTGCCAAGCAGAAAAAGTTGAAGGTGAATACACTTGGCCATTGGCTTTTGAACTCCTGCTTGTTATGTGATCCTTTTCTTGAGTTCTAAATTTTTTCATCTTTTTTTTTCATTAAGATATGGGAGAATTATGTTGAGGGAGAGGAAGATTCTAATGGTTCGGGTTTAGCAGCATCAGCTGAAAGAAGACAGAAAGAAGAATTCAAGGTATTAGGATCATGCGACTTGTGGCTTTGTATTTATTATTTGCGACTTTTTAGTGCTCTGAACAAATAAACGCTGTTCCGCAGGCTGTGGTCACAGAAGTTCTGGAAGGTGGTAAGTTTTATGTTCAGTCGGTTGCTGATCAGAAAGTTGCCTCCATACAGAATCAACTTTCTTCCTTAAACCTTCAAGAAGCTCCTCTGATTGGAGCTTTCAGTCCTAAAAAGGGCGATATCGTTTTAGCTCAGTTCAGTGCTGACAAATCTTGGAATCGTGCGATGGTAAGGCGTCATGGATTTATTTGCAGTTTATTTAATTTAGCATGAGTTTGTTGGCCTTTTGAGAGTTTAGGGAGCATTTCACGTGCACCGAAATTTGAACCAATTTTCATATATCTGCCTCTTGGTTTTATTGTGTTCAATTGTTAAATCTCTTTTATTCTGATTCTGCTTCCTGTTTTACTTTGCCTAATAGAAGTATAGAACTTCTAACACTACTTATGCACCAAAGAACCCACTTTTGCACTTGGTCAACTTTTAATGAACCGCATCTCTCTCTCTCTCTCTCTCTCTCTCTCTCTCTCTCCCTCTCCCTCTCTCTCTCTTCTGGTCAACCTAATCTATTTTTCCTAATAACGTTTGATTTGAATCCTGTAGATTGTGAACACTCCCCGTGGTGTTGTGGAATCTGCAAACGACAAGTTTGAGGTATTCTACATAGACTATGGGAACCAAGAAACTGTTCCTTACAGCCAATTGCGTCCTCTGGATCCTTCTGTATCTGCAGCCCCTGGGCTTGCCCAGCTTTGCAGCCTCGCCTTTGTTAAAGTCCCGAGCTTGGCTGATGACTATGGCCAGGAGGCTGCCATTCGATTGAGTGAACTCCTATTGAGTACTCCCAAAGAGTTGAAGGCTGTGATTGAAGACAAGGACACGTCAGGTGGGAAAGTCAAGGGACAAGGAACCGGGACTGTCTTCATGCTTACCTTGATCGACACTGAAGCTGAGATGAGCATAAATGCAGTCATGCTGCAGGTACGGTACCCCCATATCTGTCCCCCTTGTATAAGCTATATAAGTTATCATTTATATTTATTTGTTATATAGCGTCAAAATTTTATTTTTTTTATTTGTTTTGTTTTTATAGGATGGACTTGCTAGGCTGGAGAAGAGGAGGAGGTGGGAATCTAAGGAGAGGCAGCAGGCTTTTGATGAGCTTGAGAAGTACGAGACTGAAGCTCGTGAGAAGAGGCTCGGGATGTGGGAGTATGGGGACATTGCCTCTGATGATGAGGACTCTGCACCTCCTGCTAGGAAACCTTCTGCTGCTGGAAAGCGGTAAAAAAAGAAAAAACAAAATTAGAAGACGATCGAATATGGCTTTTCTGCAGCCTGTAACATTACTATAGCTGGTCTGGACTCGTTTTACAGGCAAACATCTCAACGGTTTGTTACATAAGAGTTGAGCGAAGAGCGCAGACACTGTTTTTATTTTATTTTATTTTTTTTTGTTTTTTACTTGTAACTTATAAAGAAACTCGGGGCTTTAGAGCTGATTGTTGTTTGGTAGGTGAGGAAACAATTTTGGTTTTTTTTTTTGGGAATTTCTTTAATATGTTTTATTAAGTTAACTGTGACTCTCAATAAGGTTGGCCTAGAACTTTGTCTTGAAAAAGTCTACTTTTTTTTTTTTTCTTCTCTTTTCTGTCTGCTGTCTTACTTGGGAAAAGGATCTTTGCTTAATTTGCTTGATTGCTATTTGGAAAATGGATTTCTGTGTGCACTCTTCCGGAATTGCGGATGGTCTCTCGTCTCTCGAAGGACTCGATTCGATTCCTAGATTACGTTATTAATAATATAATTAAATAACATCAATCAATTATTGTTACATTTCATTTCAATTTTATTCACTATTTATTCACTCACGTAATTTTAACAAATCATTGTTTCACATAATTTATTTCATACTTTTACATCAAATTAATTTTAATTATTTTATTTTAAATATTATTTTAATATAAACTCAATATTCACTAACAAGTAACAGCTACTCATACTAACTTTTTCAAAATAACACTGATTAACCAAAAATACTCGTATTGAGCAGATATATTTGTATCCAAGCACGCCCTAAGGTTTTCTTTAGTTTTGGTTCTCACGTTTTAACATACAAATCCGTTGGAAATCCACAATAGTATTGAAAAAATTCTCTTAATAAAAACGTCTTTTATTCAAACACTTAAAAAATATTCTGGTAAAAAATATAGTCAAATTTCATGATTGCATGATCTTTATAAGGTATTTTTACTAAAAGTGTATAAATGTCTATGTGAAATAACCAATAGTGTCATTAAAATTACTGATATTTTTTTTATCATTGCATAAACTACTACATATCTCTTTTCATATAGACAAATTGATATCTATCTAATTGATGCATCACCCCACGATGTGAGAATGAATTTCATCTCCAAATAAAGGTTGACTTTTCAAAATCTTGGTAACATGTATTTCTCCCGAGACGCTAATTAATTTTAAAATCATCATACATTACTTGCAAGTACATACTCTAAAGCAATTGCATATATGTTCGAGCACATTACACCAATGAGATTATAAATATTCCTATAAAAAGTGAGAACTTCATTTAGACATTTAAAATATTTTGATCAGGGTCCGACATACCTTTTCAATATTATTTATTTGGAAGATAGACGAACTATATAATCTACTGTTTAAAAATCATTGACCATCTTGTTGTAATGATTTTAGAACTTTTTATGTGTCTAATAACTTTTTAAATGCTTTTATTGTCCAATTTGTGCACCATACACAATGCTTAGAAAATTCAAGATAGATATCATTTTGTGATTCTTCAACGATGACAAAAACAAAACTAAAATAATGGGATAGTACTTTTTGTGATATCCTTTATAAATATATTTTATGTATTATGTTATAATTTGTAGAATTATTTAGATAATGGACATAACTCTCTATGAACTTCTAAATCAAAATTCTATATCATGGGATCCTGAACTTAATCATCTTAACTGAATGTATAAATAATTTTCATATGGAAACTCTTAAGCTAGTTAATTAGACTTTTTCTTCTACCAAAATCTAATGATAAGTTATAGACCCCTAACCTGCATCACTTTTTCAGATGTAAATATTTCTCAAATACATTTATTTCAATATATGATATGAGAAACTCGGCAACAATATATGTTATGAGAAACTCGGCAACAATATTGTTTTCATGACGAGAGGTTTGTCAGTCTAATGTCAAAAATCAAACGACATGTGGTAATAAATTGCTAATTTAGATTGCTCATAAATTAGAGCTGAAATTGAGATTAAAAATGAATTAAAAATAATAAGTGTAGGAAATTTATCAAAATTGGTATTGTAAAATTGATATTGGAAAAAACTTTCATTATCTACAATGATATTCTGTGAACTTTGAATAAATTGGGAATTAATAGCTACTATATGATATCCTGTGAACTTTGAATAAATTACTTTTTATCATGTTCATCGGAATGAAATTTGCGTGTACATATCTATGGATTTTGAATAATTTATTTTTACATGTACATACTGTACATTTGTAGCAAATACACCATGGCATATAACTGGATTGTTCAGGTATAAACCTTATCCATGTCTATTAGATAATTTGTTCATAATAATCAAGTATACAATTTTTTTTTTTTTTTTTGCGACTAATCTACTGCTTTACCTTTTAAATTGTGTTGAATGTGTTTTTTGATACTGCTAACACAGTGGAGGAGCCTAATCTTGGTGAGCATGGCCAGTACAAATACTAATTGTTTTAATAAAGCAATAAAATAAATAAATAAATCTTTCTGTTTTGATTTTGATGCACCTCTGCAGTTCCCATAGTACTCTCCTCCACTATGTTAGCAGTATCAATGGTTCTTTTTTATCTGCTACTCTTGCATTGAAAAAAAGTAAAAGCTAAAAGAGTATTGAGGTAAATTATAACAAAATCCAATTAAAAAAAAAAAAAAGCTTGTTACAACTTACACCTGATAATGGGTTAATAAAAATATTTTTGATAAGCAATTAATCATGTGATAAGTAAATACAACTGATATTAACAATTCTATATACCACAAAACTCCAACATTAACCTTTTTCAAAATTAATTTATGTATTTTAAATGCATTAATTTACAAACCTTTTAGTGAAGATTTCAAAAGTTTAAATCACAAAACTCCACAAACAACGAAGAAAAAGACTACAATGAATTCATCTGGTGTGAAACAAACAAGTAATTTAATTAGTCTCTTGGAGAAAATCACAAACTACAAAACTTCCTCAATTCCAAAAAACAATGTCTCTTAAGTGTAAGATATGACAAATGATATCTCAAATCAATCAAAAGTCACAACATACCTAAATCCACAAAAGCCACCCAAGTAAAAATTTTCAACTCTAGTAGAATAAAATTCACCTAAGTGAAGAGTTGAGCACTTTACTTTCTTCCTTCGTCGCCAAAGATTTTCGCTCAACTATCCTAATTCTTGTTTTTGGTTAATTGTCACGCCTTACGTTTCTTCTCTTCGGTGCATTGTCATTTTCATTTTGCTCGTCCTTCTCCTCTGAGCTTCCCTCCTTCTTTGAGCTCTCAGCAACATCTGTCTTCTTGTTGGTGTCTGCACTTACCTTAGCCTGAATTCAACAACAAGAATGAGCTAGGTACGAGCAAATGGAGCGTGAACTTCTTGTTGTACAATCGAAAATAAAACATTGGTTACATATGATTAGTGACAAGTTACTGTAATAAAATCCTATATAATGTTGTTCGCATTTTGCCATTTCATCTCACCCAACTTTAGAAAAAAAGCTTTAATCATATATAATGCACTACTATTTCAGGAAGGGTAACAAAAATTGGCAATTCAACTGCAAACTTTCAATTTACTTACAGCAGGCTTCTTCCCACCAAAGATGAGCTTGAACAAGACTGAGATGATGATGACAACAATCGAGACAATGACTCCAATGGTGAGGTTTGGTTGTTTCTCAGCCTTTTCGAGCAGGTCCTGCCAAAAAAATAAAAAAAAAAAAAGAAAACATTGAATAAATCATTAATCATGATTTAAAAGCATCCAGTTAGTAACTTTTTTCATGATAAAGCAAACTATACTCACCAAGACTTTGATTTTGTGCTCGCCCAAGAAGGGGAGGTCTGCAACCTTGTAGAGGTAGTCGAATACCAATTTCTGGAACAATAAACACAAGCCAATCCCATTTTAGCACATCATTATCAACCAGCAGCATCATTGAAAAACACAACACATATACCACATATAATAATTTCCCATTAAATACCTGGACACCCTTGAGCTCATCAGAATCCACAGCCTCTTCTTCCTTTTGCTTCTCCTTCTCCACCTCAAACTTGGGTTTCCAAGCATTCACACGCAAAGACTCTGCAGCCTTCTCGCTGGATGCAATCAAGATATTGTCAAACAATAGACCGTCCTGCATTGTCCAAATCTCAATGCCAATAGCCGCAATTGGTTCAAAGTTTGGCCTCTCGAGTTCAAAGTACTCAGGGTTGTCGATGTCTCTTGGCTTCCAGATGCCCTTGTAGTTAGGGTTATCGATAAGGGGAGCATGCCACTTTCCCTTGTAAGCAGGGTTCCTCTTCATGGGCCTCTTCCACTCTCCACACCCAGGAGCATCGGCACACTTTGGGTTATCAATTTTCGGGGACTCCCACTCACCATCCTCCTCATCATCCCAGTCCTCCGGCTTTGCTGCCTCGGGATCATCCACCTCCTCGGGCTCATCATCCAGCCAGCCCTCGGGCTTCTCGGCTTCTTCATCTTCAATCTCCATTGGGGCATCCTCATCCCAGTCATCGGGCTTGGTGGCTTCAGAATCGGGGATCTTGGCCCGCTCGTCCCAATCCTCAGGCTTCTTGTCATCCGGGTCGGGGATGGTCTTAGAGGGAATGAGCGGGGGCTCAAAATCTTCACCTGAGAGGAAATTAGCTTTCTTTCTTTCCTCACCGTCGATCAATATGCGGAGCTCATTGTCTGGCTTTAGGACGGCCGTATAGACATGGGTCAACTTGTCTGAGGGCACGGAGGGCGGGAACTTGAGATGGTGCTCAATGAACTTGCCAGTCTTGGGGTTTTGGTGCTTCAGGATAAAGTGGACCTTGTTCGTGGCTCCGCACTTGTCCGGGCCAAACATGATCGTGTAGGGGGACTCATTGTCGAATTCCTTGGGGATCCAACCTGCTTCCTGTGGGCGGAGGTACTTGATGTATGCACCACCACACTCAAGGCCATTCTGTAGGCGGACCTCGTACTGTAGGACGATGGTCCCATCCTTGAGGTCAACAGGTTGGTCAAGCTCCTTCACAATGGCGTATTTTCTGGCTTTCTCACTCACAAGAAGGCCATAATCGTCATGTCCCTCACTCTTTTCATGCTTCCAGACACCTGAGATTGCAAATTAAGCAAAAGGTTGTGTTTCAGAAAACCAATTCAATTAGATGAAAAATGCAATCATCAATTCTCAGGTACTCAGATTCTCAGCATAACCTATGCATGATGTAATCAAGATTAGAGCTATACACCAAACAAGCTCTTCATGTAAAACAAGCCCCCCCATGCAATTACAAGTATCAACATCACAATCTAAAAGAACCTCAGATAACTACCACTACCAAGTACCCACAGGCTTTTAGAGCTGATGAAGAGTCAAAAAGCCTGACAAACAAGAAATCCTCTGGCTTTTTCAACAAAAGGGTTGGATTAATTACTATCTCAAACAATGTCAAACATTCAACAACCACCTTATTCCTATAAATTTTAACAACAAACCAATCCAGACTGATTAAACCTGACCTGAGTAATCCTGCTTGTCGGACACAATCCACCTCCCCTCGAAATCCTCATCGAACGACTCTTGGAATATCTACAAACACACCAAACACAGCACAACAAAACATGCTAAAATCCAAACAACCACACGAGATCTGAAAATGACTGCAGCACAATGGAATCCAAGCAGCAAATCGCAAAACCAAAAACGGAAAATCACTGAAAAAAAACCCGCATACCACATCATCGGAGGCGTGTAGCTGCGAGACGAAGCAACCGATGAACAGCAGCAACAAACACTGCATTACCCCAATCTTCCGGCTCCGATCCTCCATTGTCGAAAATTTCTAGAGATAACTGTGTTTTTGGATGGACAATTATCGATCTTTATTATATTACATTATACATGAGATCGTATGTAAAGGGCTGTATCTATATAGATCTGAGAGGGAGCCGGGTCGTGTCAGACCAATGATGTGTAGCGCCACGTTTCTCGAACCAATGAAATCATGCCGCGTGGCGGGCTGTGACGAGCTTTGAGGGGAAAAATACGTTATTGGCCTCTGGAGCTGGTGATTATGCAAGCTGACCCGGTTTGCCTTTTGACCATCATAATTTTCATTTTTACTAGGTGATGAACGAGAGCATTTATTACTTATTTGTTTTTTAAAATATATTTTTAAATTTAAATTATCTTATGACATTAAAAATATCAAAAATTATATGTTGTTAAATACTTCGTTATGCAAAAATTATTGGTTTGATTTTTTGGCAAGTAAAGTATTATATAGGTGTTCAAATTTTATCTAAAATTGCATATTATCTATATATATAATTGCTAGCATATAGCATTTAATAAAACTTATTTAATAAAACTCTAAAATTTTCCCTCTATTTTCAGTTACAAAATTTATCATTAATATTTTTTTTTACTTCTCACACTAATACATCCTATTGAGCATAATCATGTATTATATAATAGTTATTGCTAATACCAACTAACAATAATTCACAATAAACATAAATTACATAATTATAAATAATTGTTTCAAGTTATTTATTTTAACATCAATATTATCTTTTTCTTTTGTATCACATGAAAAATTTCTTTAAAAACAATTAGTAAATTGTTTTAATAGCATAGTCAAACAACTTTAGAAGCTTATAAATAATTATTTTTAATAATAATAATAATAATAATAATAATTAAGCTGTTATTATCTAATGATAATAAATAATTGTCCATAATAATAAAATCGTTAATTTATTTTTCCTAATGATCAAATTTTTGAAAATGATATGTTCATTATCTAGAATTTTAATATTAAATTCTCAAATATTACTTATAATTTTTTATGTACATCTGAGCATATGCACAGGATATCTACTAGTTAGTGAAGTTACCAAATTTTTAAAAAGATAAAGGACCTTATTTATTAAACAAAATTAGAGTAGAAAAAAAGTAAAATTTTTTAGGGATTTTCACCCATTATTTATTTTAAATCTAATTCTAAATCTCAATTAAAAAAAGGGTAAATTGCAGTTTTCATACCCAAACTAAAGTTCATTTCGTAATCAGTACCCATTTTTTAACATTTGCAAAATCAGTACCCTAACTTTCATTCTGTTAGCAACGTTTGTACCTGGCCGTTAAATTTCCGTTAGTTGTTAACGGAAGTAGGCAAAATAGAAGGAACTTTGTATTTTTGTTATTGAACAATTATTATTCCAAGATATACTGCATGAACTAGAAGAGAAATCGTGTCTTCTCATTTTTCTCGATTTATTATATTTTTTAAAAAAAAAATCGATTTTATCCAATTTTATTTCTTATAAATAGTGGAGGCTGCGTCTTCTTTGAAAAAAAATGATACAAATATCTTATGTATATAGATTTCATCATGAGCCAAAAAAAAAAAGAAAAATTTCCTCCATTTTGCCTACTTCCGTTAACAACTAACGAAAATTTAACGGAGATCTAACGGCCGGGTACTAACGTTGCTAACAGAATGAAAGTTTGGGTACTGATTTTGCAAATGTTAAAAAATGGGTACTGATTCCGAAATAAACTTTAGTTTGGGTATCAAAACTGCAATTTACCCTTAAAAAAATTTGAAAAGAATCATTAATTACTACTGAAAATAAAATTAATTTTCCTACCAATAAACCGAATTATTTTATCAAACAAATTGATCCGAATATCTTTTTAAACCAAATAAAAAAACCATTAATTTTTTCTAAATATGCAACTAAATTTTTCTAACTATACACCGATTTTTTACCAAATAAATTGAATTGAAATAATTCTTATAAAAAATTAAAATAATTGGTTAATGTTTATGTAATTGTCTCTTTCCTAAAGAAAATGATGTGAATTTAACCCAAGAAAAATGATATGAACTTAACAAAATCTTGGTAAAACATGGTTAAGAAAAAATACAAGAATCCAAAAAAAATTGATGCATTAAATTTTAAAAAGTTGCGCACATTTTTCCTAAATAATTAGATATGGTGACTTTAAATATCAAAGATGAACCTCTTTTGTTACCAAAAAATTGTGGACACGATTTTGAATGTACATCCCGTCCAAATATCAGTTTTATTTTAAAATAAAAATGGCACGTAGTTTTATCCAGTTTACATACTTTTTTTAAAGAAAAAATTATTCAATAAGATTGAAAGAATTGGTTAAGAATTCTACTCTATTTTTTTTACTAAAATTGTATCCAATTTGCATTGTTTTTAAATTAATTTATATTTAGAATTGTTTTTATAAATAATTGACACATTTTTTGCATAAGAATCTCTAGATTTGTTACAAAAAAAGATATGATTTAAATTTTGGTAAAAAAGTAAAATACGATATGAAGAAAATGGAATTCAAATTTTGCCATAAGAATCTCAAAATTTGTTAAAAAAAAAAAAAATAGAATTCAAATTTTGTTACTAAAGATTTACATGTGTTTTTTCAAACTTTCTATTAATAATAAGTCAAACATTATATTTATTTGGTCAAACTTTCTATTAAGGTATTTTTCCAACAACTTTTTTATATAGATATAGATATAGATATAGATATAGATATGGATATAGATATAGATTCTTATTTTCTAAAGTAAGTAAAAATATCCGCGTGATTCACAAATAAGTAATACTAATACAACACCGGTGTATTATACGGGTGCTTGTTAATTTTTTTTTTAAATTTTAAAATTAATGAGAAAACTATATTAAATTTAGTTTACTTTTTTACAAAAAAAAAAATATATTACCATATATTTTAGAATGATATGTGTTACTTATGACTTACATGTGTTATATTATATTAGTTTTTATAATTGATATCATATAACTACTTGAAATATAAATATATTAGTTGATAAATAATTTTATTTTTTTAATTAATATTAAAAATAATTTTATTATTGTTATAAAGATAAATATAAATTATTTTTTTATACATACAATATGGATGTTAAATCGAAGCTCATCAAAAGAAGATTAATTTGATATATTACATATGTAAAACTGATAAAAAATACAAAAGTTATTAACTTTTAAATAATATATACAATTCAATAGTTATAATAAGGAATGATATTAAAATGCAATTAATACATGTAACATGACCATAAATAATCAACATATTTATGGTAATCCGAACCTAATTATTTTTGGTTTGGAATTAAATTAAAAATTTATCCAAGCCTAATAACGAAGCATGTAATTTTGCCACATAGGATTCCGAAGCACCAGAAGCAGCCACGTAGGCTCAGCGCGTTCTGAATTAATATATAGGGGGAATTAAAGTTGTATTTATAAACAAAATGTAGAATTACATGAACATAATACATCATACATTAAATAAAAGTAAAATTTGTGCAATTATTTTATTTGTGTAAAAATAAATCTAT